ATCCTTTATTGGTTACAAGAGTCACAGATTTCAATCCTCACCTCACAGCTTTACATTTCACTTTATTTTTGATGTCTTTTGATGAACAAAATTTCTTAATTTTGATGTGCTGAATATATCAATACTTTTCTTCCTGATTTGTGCCTTTTGTGTTTAGGAAATTCTTTGTTACTTTTAAGTCATAAAAATATTCTACTAAAATTTTTTTCTAAAATGTATAACTTTGTATTTTTTAGATTAAGCCATTGTTCCATCTGAAATTATTTTATTACCATTGATTGAGTAGTCCATCTTTTCCTTCATTGACTTCTAAGCATACATTAAATATTTACACATATATGTTTCTATTTCCAAATGATCTATTCTGTTCCATTTCTCTGTTTTTTCTATTGCTTTAGCAATATCACACAATCCTAAGAACTACTGTTGTTCATTTTATGACTTTTTGTCTGGGATACTCAACAGAAAAGTCCCCAGACTTTCTTCTTTTCTTAGATAAGCATTAAAGGCTATTATTTCTAAATTCTATTCAGCTTCATTCTGTAAGTGTTGATATGTAGTATTTTCACTGTTGTTCAATTCTAAATGTTTTCTAATTTGTATTTTTATTTTCTTTTTTATCTGTTGGCCATTTAGAAGATTTTCCCCTCAATTTCTACATATGTGTGTATTAAAAATTATTATATTTTAGTATAATAGTAATAAAAATATTGTCTACATGATAGAGATTCCTTAGTATTTGTTGAGACATGCTTTATAAATAGCTCTCTTGTGCCTGAAGATTAAATTGTTTCCTTTAATTGTTAATTGCTAGATTTAAATTTGTCCATTTGAGCAGAGTTAATAGTGTTGTTCAAATTGTCTCTATTGTTACTAGAGTTTATTGTTTTGATCCACAAATTGCAAAATGAAGTACATTAACATCTTTTATTATGAATGTGAATTTGTGAGTCTTTTATTCTGTAAATTTTTGCTTTTCTGTATATTTTGAGATTATGTTACTAAGTGCATGGAGGATTAGAACTGTTACGTCTTTCTGACAAATTGAAAATTTTGCCTTTATAATAGTGATCCTCATTAATTTTAGAACTTTTTGCCTTAAATTTTACTTTATGTGAAAATAAAAAGCAACACTTATGATCTATATATATGTACACACACACATATCTATGTGTATACACAATATAATACATATGTAAATATACATGCATACACACATATACATTGTACATTTCAACTTTTTTGTGTACTTATATTTTAGGTGTGCCAATTGCAAACATATGATAGCATTAAAATATATCTAACTTCAGAATCTCTATTATTAATATATAAGTGTAATCCTTCTCTTTTTAGTATGGTATATAGGGACTTATCATATCAATTTATTTTGGTCTAATACATCTACTTTTCAATGCTTCATGTTTTATTCCTTTACCATCATTTATTGGATGGGTTTCCTTTCCTTCCCCTTTTCTTCTTGATTGTTTGAAAACTATTTTTTCTCTATCTAATCTTTAACTGTTCACTCTTAAAATTTTGACAAGAACACTTGCATGAGAAAAGTCTAAAAGTATTCTATATCTTTACTCTCCTTTTGAACAATATATGGAACCTGGGATATTTTAATCTTGATCTCTCTATTTTAGTTTTCATGTTACTGTTGTGTAGTATTTTGTTCCTATTTTGCTTACATCCCATTCAGATTCCTCATTATTTAACTCTTATTTTAATTTTGTTTAAATCTTGTTTAGATCAATATATTTTTGTTGTTCACAATGCCTTCTTTCATCTTAAAGTTTTCTTTCATGAAGGCCTGTTGGTTTTAAATGAGCACTGGGTATCTAAAAATGTCTGGATTTCATGTTCACTTTTGAGTGACAGCTTAACTACTTAAATAATTTATTAATTACAGACCTGTTCTAAGCACTTTGATGATATAGGCATCTAGTCAATTTCTGTGAAGAGTTTAAAGGAAACTTAATCTTTGTTTGTGAAGTGTAAAGTTTCATATTCATGTATATGAATTATATAAGTACTCAAAAATCCTTAATCATTGTTTGTGTAGCTCCTCTTTGAGGTTTCCCCTCTCTCTCTCTCTTCCTCTCACTCTCTCTCTTACTCCTTCTAGTTAGCTGCAGCATTAAATCAATCTCTAGACCAGTTTTAAGGAAATGTATTTACAATGGATTTTAGTAGTCTGCTTTAAAAGTATTCATCCCTGAACCCTAAAGTCAAAAAGTAGCTAGATATATTTTACCATAAAGTCAGCCTCTAATATTCAGTTACTAATAGACTAAAGCAGGAATGAAGCCACGCTGTGCCATTTAGGCATGGCATTGGGTTTTTAATGTCCTTCAATTCCCCCACTGGCAAATATATACCGTTTATCATGTGCCATCCACTCTACACCACTTTTTGACATTCCCAGGTGTTATAGAACATTGTATGAAGGTGATATAATATATCCTGTCCCCTTTGGACACATGATTCACGACACATAACCATGCCAACCTGGAAAAAAATTTCTTAAATACTGAGAAATAGAAAGACATAAAACTTTAAAATTACTTAGGTGAAATGATTTCCTTGGAGCAGCCTAGCAAGTCAGCTTGTCGGTCTTAGACTAGGAGGCTCTGAAGAGCAGGCATAGGCTGCTTTTTGAGTTGGGAAAGCAAATGAACATTTAACCCTTCTCTTCTCTTTCACAGGAATCTCTCCATTGGGGTGTTTGTGTGGAAAGCATTTCCTGACTCCTACATCAGTCAGCTCCAGGCATTTTAAGCACTGGTTTTGTGCACTGTACTTACTGACTCTGACTATGTACCAAGACACGATACAGAAAAAAGAGTTCTGGACCAGAACTCAAGAAAACTAGGATCTAGCCCAGGCTGTGTGAGCTTAAGCCAGTGATGTAACCTCCCTTTTGCGTCCACTTCCTTATGCATAAAATGAAAACAGTATCTGTACTACTCACCTTTTAAAATGTTCTCTTACTCAATACCAACCCTTACCCACGAGTATGAATTTTTCAGTATCGTGCTCAAGCTACATGAAAATATAAGTTCTAGACTTTTATAAGAAGAATATACATTTAAGTGTTTTTTCAATAGGATGTTTATGTCAACAGTCAAAAAAGAGGGATGCAGGACAAAAAGTGCTCTGTTCAGAGAAGGTAAACCATTCATTCATGTATTCATTCATTCATTCACTCAATAAATAACTATCTAGCACCCATGTGTCAGACACATGAGTCTTGCCTCTCCTGCAGTTTAGATTCTATTGGGAGGAGGTTGGAAATAAATGAACAAGTAAACTTGCAAGAAAATATCAGCAAGGAGTGATCACAGAGAATTAAAAAAGAAATGCTATATAGAGTAATGGAATGACTTCCCTGGAGAAGTGACATTTAAGATGAAACCTCAATGCCACTGTGATGATAAGAGGGAAGCACAATCCCAGCAAGTCGTTCAAAGCAAAGTCAGGAAAGAGGTGGTTGTGTTCAAAGAACTAAAGGCCAGTAGACAAGGAGGGAGAGGTCAGAGAAACAGGCAGAAATAAGTTGGGCTTTGTGAGTTAGACTAAAATGGTTTAATTTTTTTTTATTTTAAGAGTGATGAGAAGCCTCTTGAAGACTTTAAGGTAAGCAAGTGCTTGGGGAGGTAGAAAAATACTTACTTCGGAGGTAAGACTGAGAGAGTTATTTGGGGAGAAAGAGGAAGAGACTGTAGGTAGGTGTATTAGTGTGGAGGGCTGCATAACAAAATACCACAGACTGGGTAGCTTAATAAATTATTTTATGACAATTTTGAGTGGGAAGTTCAAGATCAATGTGTTGGCAGAGTTGGTTTCTCCTGAGGCCTTTCTTCTGGGCTGGGAGATGACTGTCTTTTCTGTCTTCACATGGTATTTCCAAATCTCCTCCTCTTAGAAGGAAAGGCACCAGTCATATTGAATTAAGGCCCACCTTAATGACCTCACTTTAACTTAATTACCACTTTCAAGTCCATATCTTCAAATACAATCCTATTCTGAGTCATATTCTGAGGTACTAGGGGTTAGACCTTCAACACAAGATTTTTTGAGAAACACAATTCAGCCCCATTACAGTAGAGGGTCTAGCGTGAGCAGAGGTGTAGAAACAGGATTGGTGTGGTCCCCGCTGAAAAATAGTGGAGTCCCCAGACTGGCTGGAGCAGAGTTTACACGAAATGGAGTCACAGGAGGTCAGGTTATCAATGGAAGTTGAGGCCAGGCTGGTGAGGAACTTGAATTTTCGTTAAGCAGCTTCAGCCTTCTGCAATAAGTCATGATGAGTCTTGGAAAGTATCCGAGCACTATAGGAGAGCTAGGTATTGATGATCAAACCACTGGTTATGTGAAAGCCTTGCAGGAGAGGACAGAGTCAGGAGACAGCCTGGGGTGTGGAGTTTGAGTCAGGCCCTTAGGGACAGAAAGGAAATAAAAGAAAAAGCAACATCTCTAGGGAAGATCTCCAGTACCAACTGAGACAGTGGGGAAATAGGATTCCAACCTGGGAAGCTTCAGAAAAAAATGAAAGACAAGGACTTCTGTGTAAAATCTAGGATTATGGCCAGAATGACTCAGGGCAGTGCATTTGGTCTCTGTCCAAACCCTGCACCTACAGCTGTGGTGGAGGCTGGACACATTGTCTCACTTGGCTGGAAAAACATGGCTTCAGAGTCAGGCAGACCTCAGACAGCTCAAATTCCAGCTTCTTCATTTTTAGCAGTGCACCTTAATTTCTTGTGAGCAAGTTGCTGAATCTCTTTGAAACTTAATTTTCCTAGATGTCCACTGGAAATGATAAATCACCTTTCTAGACTTTTGGAGGGCTGAGGTAATATGTGCAGTGTCTGGCTCATAGTAGGTGCTCAATAAATGGTAGATTCCTTCTCATCTCCCTTAGTGGAACAAAGCCCTGGAGTGACACAGAGCAGATAGATTTAGGTACTTGTGACACATCTGAATTGCTCTGGCAGGGCACGTGGGCTGGTGCTTCCTGTGGCAGGATTGGCAAAGGTGCTGGTGGGGATGGAGCTGCTGTGGTGCCATGTGTGTCCATATCTGTCCACACTTTACCTGCATCGAAAACACCAAATACTAGATCAAGTCAGGCAAAAGGCTATCCACAACCTGTGTGGCCCTGGGTGAGTGTCCATTATAACTATCAATGGCCCTATTTACTGTATCCCTACCGTCTGGCATGGAAAGAATTCAGCAGTTTACAGTTCATTTAACTCTAAAAATAACCTTGCTTCATTAGTCTAAGTTTATAGATGAGGAAACCGAGGTTCAGAGTAAATAGCTTTGTTGAGTCAGACATCGTTAGAAAACAGGAAAGCTGGGTTTGCAACTTAGGTCTGTCTGATTCTAGAAATCATTTTCTTTCCACTAAGCTCACTTATTCCTTGCCTTGGCCTCTACAAGTCTCAACATCTGAGCTACAAAATTACACATGACTTGCCTCGAAATATAATATTTATCTTTTCCCAGCCTTTGTTGTAGGGAACAAATGAAAATAAATATGTTCTATTTCCTCTAGATGTATTATAAATGACACCAAAACTTAGTGGTATAAACAACAATTTGATTACATTCATGGATTCTATGGGTCAGGAATTTGGGCAGGGCATAGGGGGAAGAATTATTTGGAACTTTCAGGATAACTCAAATATTGGACTCAGCTGGGGCTGTAAACTGTGCTTATATATTGCCTTTCCACATGGCCTGTGATCCTTACAACATGGCGGCCTTAGTGTAGTTAGAATTCTTACATGGAGGCTCCAGTCTCCACACGTGAGCATCCTAGCAAGCAAGGCAGATGCTGCATCACCATTATTGTCTAGTCTGGAAAGTCACATAGCATCACTGCTGCTGCAGTCTACTGATAGAAACAATGCTCAGATTCAAGGCTGCTTGGATTCAAGGAGAAGAGCTATAGATTCCATCTCAATGGAACAAGAGCCACAACATTTTATGGCTGCTTAAAAAAACAAACAAGCAAAACACCACAGGGTATAAAATTCCAAGGAAAGTATACGTAAGTGTACTGGAATAATGCCTTGCTATAATTAATGACACCTTTGTTTTCAGCCAGGGCACTCCACCTTGCCAAGCATAAAACATTCATGTCCAAACAGTGCTGAACTAGATTTGGTTGTGAACAAGCTTTTTTTTTTTTTTTTGAACTTTTTCCTGAAGAGAAATGCCTAAACTTTTTTAAAAAAGAAGCTCCTTTAGCAGCAACAGCATAAAAACTTCCAAGAACATGTTAAAAATTCTGCAAACTGTCCAGTTGTTCAAGGGTCATGAAGCCCCAGTCTTACCTGTCAAGATGGGAAAAGAGAACGACAAATGACTCTAGTTCTGTAAAGATCAGCTTTTCAGCCTTTCTTTTAAAGTTAAGTTACTTTTAGTTGAATTAAATCTGGGTCATGGAGAAAGCCTCAGTTTAATTTTCTTTTTAAAAATAAATTTCCATAAGTATATATAATTTATTTATTTTGTTCAATTGCCCAGCTTAAATTATTTAGGGCCTGTGTTTTGGTGCTTAATTGGGCAAGGCATTAATGATCCTGGTGAAATGAGAGGAAATGGCTATGTTTATATGGGGCCTATGCCTGTTAGATTCTATTTTCTGGAATAGGGGAGTTATTTATTTATTAAGAACTATTGACCCAGATAAATTACCTGAGATTCATTATTGCACTGCCAGGTGGTGCCCCAGACTTGAGGCTTAGACTGACCAAGCTTTACATTGTCCTGTTCACCAATTTTTTTTTTTTTTTGAGCTGGAGTCTTGCTCTGTCATCCAGGCTGGAGTGCAGTGGCATGATCTCGGCTCACTGCAACCTCCGCCTGCCGGGTTCAAGCGAGTCTCCTGCCTCAGCTTACCAAGTAGCTGGGACTACAGGCGTGCACCACCACACCTGGCTAATTTTTGTATTTTTAGTAGAGACAGGGTTTTACCATGTTGGCCAGGCTGGTCTTGAACTCCTGACCTCGTAATCTGCCCGCCTTGGCCTCCCAAAGTGCTGGGATTACAGGCATGAGCCACCGCACCTGGCCCTGTTCAGCATTTTTTGAACAAAGTCCTTAGAGGAATATGCCACAATGATAAGTCTAGAATAAATAATGGAAATTCAGAGACTTGTGTCTCTACTTTGGTGACAATTGGCTATTTAAATGGTCCTTATTCAGAGGTGGTGATAGATAAAGGTTTTTTAAAAATCAAATCCCCAAAGCTATCTTTTCTGATTTGAAACTATTTTTTGTTGCTTAGTTATCCTGCATGCCTCTCCCAAAGTCATGATGTGTGGGAGAAAGATGAAATTTGGAATTAAGCAGACATGAATTGATATTCTGCACAATTATGCAAATATGGATAAGTTGCTCAAACTTTCTGAGCCAGTAATCTGATTATGATTAAACAGTGAAAATAGCACATTGTCTTAGTCAATTTTCTGTTACTTATAACAGAATACCTGAAACTAGGTAATTTATAAAGAAAACAAATTTATTTCTTAAAATTATGGAGACAGAGAGGCTCAAGGTTGAGAGTACAAATCTGGTGCGGTCCTTCTTGCTGGTGTGGATTCTGTAGAGGTGGCATAGGGCATTGCATCATGTATTAGCTCAGGTCTCTCTTCTTCTTGTTATAAAACTACCAGTACCATTCCCAAGATAACCCATTAATCTATTGACACATTAATATATTAATCTATGCACAGATTAATCTATTCATGAGAGCAGAGCCATCATGAACCAGTCCCCCGCCAAACGTCTCACCTCTCAACACTGCCATATTGAGGATTAAGCTTCAACATGAGTTTTGGAGGGGACACATATTCAAATCACAGCACACCTGTTGTTGCAAAGATTAAAGAAGGTATGGAATGTATATCCTCCACTGTAAAGCCTGGCATGGAAAGAATGAGTACTCATTAACTTTAACCCCATCTTTTGCATATGCAATGGCCCAGCAGAAGCAGACAGCACAGTAGTGCTCCATACAAATGATGTGGACTTAAAAGCTCTTGTGGTCTGAATATTTCTAAGGCTGAACTAACTTACTTTTATCTCCTCTAAGGCAGGTCAGTGCTGCCTGTTCCCCAAATGAATCAAATCAAATGTGTGACTGGCACACTTGTTTTCAGAGATACAGGAAGTAGGATAAGAAGAAGATATTTTTACATTTATTGAACATTGACTATGTGCACCATACTGTTTAACATATTTTTAAAATTTACTTCTTGTAATGATCTTATTAAGTAGGCATAATGCTGCTCAATCAATTGTTTCAGAACATAATGAATTAATGCAGCAACCACTTACTGTATCTCATAAGTCAGCTGGATAGCTCTGATGTGAGCCAGGTTTGGCTGATCTTGGTTGAACTTACCTGGGCTTGCTCATGTGTCTGTGGTTAGCCAGCCTGTAGGTCAGTTGGTGCTGACCAGCCTAGTGTGACCTTGGCTGGCTGAAACAGCTCAGTTCTACTCCAGGCAGTCTCCTACCCTTCTGCAGGTTAGCTTAGGCTTGTTCTCATGTCAGTAGCAGGGATTCAAGGCAGGAAGAGGCAACATGCATGCCACTGTCCCACTGACCAAAGCAAATCATATGGCCTAGCTCAGAGTTGGGGTGGGAGGGCACATCCAAAGGAAACAGATTCAGAGAGGCATGGACAAATGGCCATTAGTGCACTGGATCTACCACAATAGGCATTGTTATTACCCTCATTGGTAGAGGAGGAGATGGAGGCTAGCAATTTTGTGCCTGTTGGTCACTGGCCCACCCGCTAGTGTTTTTCTTTGCTGTGTTCTTTCCTGGCGATCTCTCCTTGGAGATGCTTTTTAATAAGCTACATTTCCCCCTCTTTCTCATTATTTGGTCTGAATTTGAAACTTCATGTAAAATTATTAGGACCAACCAAGTGATCTTAACAAAAGCCCAGTATAAGGACACCAAGGAGCAGCGCAGGTGAGTCAGGAAGATAGGTCTACTTATTAGAGAAAATGAAGGGAGGAGGATAGATATGTGGTTGGGTGGAGCATAAATGGAAGAAAATGAGACAAATTTACATTTCTCTTCCATTTTCTGGCTTGTCGAGTTTGCCTGGGTCAGCTACCACCTTTCCATACCATCTTTTCTAGATTCTGAAACCAACATCTGAGAAAGGCAAGGTCCTGGTGTTGGCCTATGGCATTTACTAGATTTTTGACCTTGAACAAGGAAGTTACCTGACTTCCCTGAGCCTCTATTTCATCATGTGTGAAATGAGAATAATAGTACACATGTTGATTTGTGGGCTAAAGGAGCCCTGAAGGTAAAGAGCCCCACATGGGTCTGAGCCCTGTGCAGCCACCATGATTCACTGCTGTCCCCAAGCACATCTTGGTGCCTGAAATGCTGAACGGTTGGCTTTCACCACTGCAGAGGCTCTGGGTGAGCTGCCAGGGCAGCGCAGGGAGGCTTAGCTGCAGGAGTGCTGTTAATGGATTTTATGGCTTTGTTGAGTACCTCAAACTACAGTTATTAATTAGAGGATGCTGTTTAGGCACTCTTGCAATATATACATTTTGTTAATTGATTTGTATAGGCTCATAGCTAGCAACATAAAGAATGTGCAGGACCATAACACTTACAAGGGATTGTAATTGCCTTTGCTGCCCTCTCTGGCTCCCCAAGCAGGGAACACAAGCTTTGAGGATAGGACCCATTCTCTCCTCTGTCTTTGGATCTCCAACGGCTAATCCAGTGCTCACTGTCAGGGTGATACAGCCTGTCTAGATGCTCAGCGAAGGTCTTGAATCAATGACTAAATAAATAATGTTTGTTCCTATATTTCCATATCTATTTTATTTCCAAACTATTCCTTATAAACTCTGCATTGTGTTTGACGTTGGCATTTCATTTAGGTAAATATGGTCAAGGATTTATTCTGTGTCCTTATTTATTTATTTATTTATTTATTTATTTATTTATTTATGTTTGCTTGTTTGTTTATGAGTACCTTTGTAATCCTTTCACGGCCTAGAGATGGTTGAAGATGCAAAGATATGCACTGGCTCCTGCACTCAGGAAACTGACAATACTACATGGCACGAGATTTTATAAGGCATGACGTCAAGTAGCCTGTTCTGAGATGTGGAGTGACAACATAAAGGTGGCAACTTCTTGCATGGCACCATACCGCAGGGAATTTTAAGTTTGCCCCCCCCTCCCCGCCACTGCATCCTCAGCAGGCCCAGCACCCCAAGTTTTCTGATCTAGCTGTTCTACCAGCTTCTAAGAGCCGCGGCTGCCCCTGCTTCTCGCAGATGACGCGGAGCCCGGCCATTGCCATCCAGGTCCAAGGCTGTCTACTCTGCCCGACAACCCCTAGCACCACTAGGCGCTGCTCTAGTGTGCGCCTGGCGCCCTCCCCAGACCAGTCGACGTAGAGCGCCCAGAGACCCAGCCAAGGGCAAGACCCTTAGCGACGCCAGCCAGTCCTCTCCGCCCAGATATCAGTTCAAAGGGCATGGCAGGACAGTGTCCCCCGCACCACTCCAGACGACCCTCAGGCCTCGGGTGACCACTTTCTGGGGGAGCCCTCCATTCCTTGCGGCAGCTTTTCGGAGAGCCGGAGTGGAGGCTCTGGGCTGGAGGGCTCCCCGCAGCCGCCCACCGGCGTCCTCTGGGGGCCCGGTCCCGACTGGGGCAGGAGGACCTGGACAGCGCCCCGGAGCGTGGAGAAGGCTGAGGAAAGTTGGGGGTCGGGGCCTTAGGGCTGGGAGCGCCGAACCCGGCGCCGGTGCCCGCGTTCATGAAT